CTGCAAGGGATAGAAGATAAAAAAATAAAAGTAAGAGCTTTGATAAAAGAAATTGCTGTAGAATGTTTCTTTCATCCACAGTACCTACAGTTATCTAAAAGGGTCAAAATATCAACACATTTTTTCCCCTGGGTCTTAGACGGTTAAAGCACATCTAGCTTTTAGAGTTTTAATCCACTCTTAAGCTTTACTACATCACGCTATGCTGTCTACACATGCCTCCACCTTCTTCAAAATGTCCTCAGTGTCTCCAAAAATGGTGTTTCACAATACTGATTTGAAATTTGCACCAATGTATACAGAACAGTTCGGTTCATTATCACTATTCAGACTTGCTCTATAGTCTCTGTAAATGATCCAACTGCTTTCCCTGTTGGTGTTTTTATCATCTGTTTTCCACACATTTCCTCACTGTCAGATGGACTGATAAAGTTTCAGTTAAAGGACTGATAGCATGTGACAGTTTAATACGCTTGGACTGTGTAACTTTGATCATGATAAAATGAAGCGAAACCGAATTTTATTGCCTTTGAAAGCTTCTGTGATCCACCAGAATGTAACAAGACAACGAGCATACAGTAATGCTGATGGCCCTTTGAGGCCAGCTACAGCACTTTTAGTGGGCATAAAGTATATCCAGCTGACAATGGTAGTTTAGCAGCTGAAGCTGACTGGGATTTCATCATGTAGGAGGTATTTAAATATAAAACAAGTGTTTTAAAAAAAAATGTATTTTTTGACCTATGGGTTGCACCACAGCTACTATAACTCAGTGTCACATGTGTCAGAGCTGGCCTGTGAAGAAATGGAAAATATGGCCTCAAAATGTGACTCATAACAAAATACATGCATCAGTTTTTCTTGTATCTCCTGGCCAGGTGCATGTGCATCATTAGCTGATGGCAGCAAAATGCACTTGAAGGGTGGAGAAGGAGAACAGCTTGACGCTCTTGGCAGTTCTCCTTGGGAACACTTTGTTGACTTTCCTTTGACATTACCACCTATCTAATCCTAGCAGCTCCATACTGTGGTGGTTAACATTCACTTGACAAGATCAAGCATCTTTGGGATGTACGTGGAACAAAACAAGCTTGATCGATGGACTCCCCACCTTAAAATCTATAAGAAGAACACAAACCCAAAAGGAGCTTTAGGCACACAGGACACATTATGAGGTTGATGTCTTGAGGAGTTAGAGGCGTTTTCGAGGCAACGAGAGGAAATTCACAATATTAGAGAGATTCTTTTAATATTGTGGCTGTGGAATTGTGCGTGCTGTTTTTCATGGGTACACACCATGTAGTTATATATATTTTACCATCAATCACAGTTATCAACTTTATGAAAGTGCTGGAGAGAATCAGCAAAGTCATTAAGATTCAACTTCTGTGACCCTGTGCAAAATTTCTTGTCAATCAATATATTAGTCATTGATCTATTTCAGTCAACTGAACTGAACGGCTGATATTGCCAGGCTGTTTCTATTTAACAAAATGTGCACTTGTGAAAAATCTAATTTGAGACTGGAACGTACGTTCAGCCCACACAAAGGGACTATCGGACCACTTGGCTGACTGCTGTTATAAACATTGCAGACTCAAATATCGATCTGCTTTACAATCAATCAAACGGCGAGTGCTTGTCAGGGTCAGAGGAGACACTAATATCTAGCACAGATCTGAATTTATGGTTTGCGTGTCCCCCCCCCATCATTGATTTGTCGCCCCTCTCTTTTTTGTTTTTCAACATATTTGGTATCCCGCTGTGTTAGACTCATAGCTGCACCCCTTGGAAAATCCCTGCGTCCATTTCCCATCGTCTTCTTACCACCTTTGCCATCTTTTTTCTCATTTGTTCTTTTTTCATTCATTCACTCCTCTTTCTCTCATGGTCATTTG